AAGCTGTCAGTAAACTGCTGTCGTGACACGAGGTTGGGATTTTACTGAAATATGAGCTGCTCGGTGGATCAGATGCTGCATAATCTGTCAGATCCTGATAAACTGTATAAAATCCCACAACAGATGATGATGATGATGTTACTGATCGAGTTAAAGTGACTTTTTGGACAGGGGTGGTTGTGGTGGATCAGCGGATAAATGTGTGTGCCAAACACGGACCTTTGCAGTGGTGAGCTCTTTGAGCTGCTGCTCCAGGCTGATCCTCAGGCCCTGGAGGCTCCTCAGTGTCTCCGTCTTCTCGGCCAAACTGCTCTCCAGCTACAAAAACGATGTAACGCAAATAATCAGTCGACAAATAAATGAGATGCAGAGATGTTGATAAAAGATCAAGGCAGATTCTATAAGCAGTGGTAAAATTAATAAGTTTAAAGGCTTTGTTCGTGGATTTTTGCCCACTGTAAACAACATCTGATCATATCAGCACTGCATTTTATTAAGTACGTGAACTTTATAGCTCTTTATCTTAAAAAAGTCCTACATGTGCAATCATTGCAATGACTGAACAAATGATAATTTCTCTATTAATCTATATTTATTTATTTCAATAAATGCAAAATAATGTGCCACCTACAGGACTTCAGTGGGTAGATTAGCGGTTTTATGTGTTGAGGCTTTTTTGGTCTCTTTAGGGCAGGCGTGGGGAACTCCAGGCCTCAAGGGCCGGTGTCCTGCAGGTTTTAGCTGTTTCCTTGATCCAACACAGCTGATCTAAATGGCTAAATTACCTCCTCAACATGTCTTGAAGTTCTCCAGAGGCCTGATAATGAACTAATCATTTGATTCAGGTGTGTTGACTCAGGGTGAGATCTAAAACCTGCAGGACACTGGCCTTGAGGCCTGGAGTTCCCCCCCACCCCTGCTTTAGGGGATTTCTATTGGCCTAACATTGGTAGAAAAGAGCTGCTGTGTAGATTTTTTGATTTAAACATGACTGTGCCTGGAGAAATAAGCCTTTTTTCTTTTCTTTTTAAGAGAGTGCTTCTTTGATGTTTGAGAATATGTGTTTCGCTTGGAAAGAGCAACTCAAACAACAGTTCAAACAACAATTCCTGGAAGCAATCTTATTACAGGAAGCGCTCCTTCTTAAAAACGGACCCAAAACAAATATTTATCTTCCGACTGTGTGTGTTATTTCTGAGCTATGTTTGTTTTGTCTCACGGGGAAAACAACACCAGTTTGTTGCTAACCTCTCTTTGTTGTGTCACCCCATTTGCAAGATTATAGACCAGGGGTGGGCAACTGTAGGTCTCGAGGGCCGGTGTCCCTGCAGGTTTTAGATGTGTCCTTGAACCAACACAGCTGATTTAAATGGCTAAATAGCTCCTAAACATGTCCTGCAGTTCTCCAGAGGTCTGGTAACGAACTAATCGTGTGATTCAGGTGTGTTGACCCAAGGTGAGCTCTAAAACCTGCAGTACACCGGCCCTCGAGGCCTGGAATTGCCCACCCCTGTTATAGACCATATCTGCAGGGTTTCCCCCCTGTGTACGATCTGTGTGGACTAATCGGTCAAAGCCGATTCTCATCATCTGGAAATCTTTTGAAATATGAATTACTGTAAAGTATTTTCTTTTGATATACAGTGATGTCCAAAAGTCTTGAGCCACCCCTTATTTCTTTATAGTTTGCTGGGAAAACGAGAAAAAGGTGCAAACATACCATGTAAATACAGTAAATAAGTACATAAGGGACATTCTAACTTTCTGATAGCTTCAAAGTCAATACCATTATTCTTCAACATAGCTTCAACTGTCTTAATTTCTTTAACTAGTCTTCGGGAATCTTTCTTTAGGCTTCTTGAAGGACATTTAAAGCTCTTCTTCGAATGTTGTCTTCCTTTTTTTCTATGCAAGAGCCTCCATCTTTTTTT